AGAGAAGCTGAGTAAGACATAGTCCCCCCCCACCAGGCATCACAGTCTCCTGGAGGAAAGAACGTGAAACAACTAACTCACATGAAATAGAATAAAATGTGTCATTTACTAGCTGTATGACCTTGACCAAAGCCCTTAGCCTGTCGCCAAGCCTCAGTCTCCTCACCTGGAACAGGCACGTAAGCAGTCAATAAACGTCTAGTATTAGTAGCTGCAGTAGCAACATCATTACGGATATTTTGTACTCGGACACTATCACTTCTTAGTCAAATAGAACTATCTATACGCTGTTGTTGCGAAGAGAGAAGAAATCATTTGAAGTGTGAGCCTTGTTTTCTAAAAAGAGTCTATATCATTTTGTATAGGTTTTGACCCACCATTTTTATAATTCGTGCATATCATTATGTCAAAATGCTTTTCAAATTCCAGACCACTCCTGTACTGAACATTCTCAACACAGCAACCAAAGTGATCCTGTTAAAATATAAACTAGGCTCCGTCACTCTTCCTTTTTTTTTATTTATTCTTATTTTTTTTAAAGATTTTATTTCTTTATTTGCCAGAGAGAGAGAGAGCACAAGCAGGGGGAGCAGCAGAGGGAGAGGGAGAAGCAGGCTCCCTGCTGAGCAGGGAGCCCAATGCGGGACTTGATCCCAGGACCCTGGGATCATGACCTGAGCCGAAGGCAGACACTTAACCACCCAGGCGCCCCTGGATGGGAATTTCTTTTTTTTTTTTTAATTTATTTATTTGAGAGTGAGAGCACGAGTGGGGGGAGGGAGGGGCAGAGGGAGAGGGAGCCCGACATGGGGCTCCATCCCAGGACCCTGAGATCGTGACCTGAGCCGAAGGCAGAAGCTTGATGGACTGAGCCACCCAGGCATCCCAAGGCTCTGTCACTCTTCTGTTGAGAACCCAGCAGCATCTCCCATTCTCACTCAGTAATTCAAGTCAAAATACTTACGATGGCCTACCAGCCTTATGGGGTCCAGTCGTGGTCTAGTCGCCAGTTACTTTTCTGATGCCTTGTCCTGTTACTCTCTCTCTTGTTCATTCTGTTCCCACCACATTGGCTTCCTTGTTGTCTCTCTAACACCCCAGGCAAGCTCCTGCCCCAGGGCCCTTGCAGATAACTATACAATTCACTTCCTTCAGACCTTCACTCAAAGGTCATCATCTTCTTGGTGAGTCTTCGGGGACCACCCTAATAAAAACTTCAACACCCTCCAGGCACTCCCTGTATCTTTTCCCTGCCTTGATTTTCTTCAGAGCCTTCGCTGCCTTTTAGTATTTGATATAATCATTTATTTGTTTTGCCTGTTCCTTCCCCACAACTAGAATTTCAGCTCTGTGGGAACAGGGACTCTTTGTTTGGTTCACTGCTGTAACCTCAGTGTCTGGCACATAGTAGCTACTCAAGAAACATCTGAATAAATGAAAAGTCTTCAGAGGGGATAAGGGGAGCTAATAGAAGTACAGAAATATTGCTAAGGAGTGCAGGGGGTGAACGGTGCTTTTAATGCTAGGAAAATTGTCATTTAAGGGCCTTGTATATCATTCTAAGGAGCTTGGATTTCATCCTATAGGTGGTAGAAAGTCGGTGAAGGAGTCAGTGGTCCGCACTGAAATGTTAGAGATGCATTCCGAATGCACTGGGAAGAACAGGACTGGGTCAAGATTCACGCATGAGATGGTGGTAGCCTGAACTAAGAGAGTGGCAGTTGAGAATGTAGAAAAGGAGATGGATCTGAGAAGTACCATATTTAGAAGATAAAATTGATTGTACTTGATGACTGATGGGCTAGGGCAGTAAGAGTGAGCAGATAAGGAATCCCAGGTTCCTGGCTTGGGGCAGCCGGCTGAGCAGTCGTGCCATTTACTGAAATAAATACAGAAGAGGGGCACCTGGGTGGCTCTGTCGGTTAAGTATCTGACGTCGGGCTCCAGGCTGGGTGTGGAGCTAGCTAGATAGCTAGCTAGAAATAAATTTGATGTGGTCAAGATGAAAGGCAACACTGGGTTCTAGGTGTGTCAAGGTTTGAGAACCTGTGTGCTATCCCGGTGGAGATGTCCAGTAGGCAGCTGGATGCTTGATTTTGGAGCTCAGGGTGGGGAGGTCAGGGCCAAAGAGAAAGATCTGGAAGTCATCTACCTGTAGGTGGTGTTTAAAGCCATGGCTACAGTAGAATTCCCTAGAGAAGTTGTATAAATTGAGGAGGACAAAAAGTTGCTGGTTATTAGTGCCAAACGCTGCCCAAAAATCCAGTAAGAAAAAAAAAAAAAAAACCCATCTACTAAATTTGGCAGGTAGGAGGCCCTGAGTGAATATATTTCATCTATTCAAATATTTCTTGAACATTTGCTATGTGTTGAGAATCCTGAAGATACAGTAGTGAACCAAAGAGGCAAAAATCCCTTCTTCCACGGAGCTAAAACTCTGGTTGGGAGGAGTAGACAAATAAGAAAAGAAATAAGTAAATTATGCCAAATCGTAAAAGGCAGTGAGTGCTCTGGAAATAAAAGAAAATTTAAAAATTTAAAAAAAAAAAGGCAGGGAACCAAGGTAGGCCTGGCCAGAATCAACAAGCAGAGTCACGGACACGGATCCAGACTGCGGTGAGTAGAGCAGCCAGTGGGGAGGGAGGAAGTGGAGTCTGCCAGAGCCTACCGCTGTTTCAGTAAGTGCAGACGAGAAGGGAGAGGGACGTCCATTGACAGAGGAGTGGACAGACACACGGTGGTACGGCCACACAATGGAATACTACTCAGCAATAAACAAGAAGAAACTATTGATGAACACAGCAACATGGATGAATCTCAGAAGCATCGTGCCGAGTGAGAGAAGTCAGTCTCAAGGGGCGCCCGGCTGGCTCAGTCGGAAGAGCATGCAACTCTTGATCTCAGGGTTGTGAGTTCGAGCCCTCCATGGGGTGTAGAGATTACTTAAATAAATAAAACTTTTAAAAAATACTTTCAGAAGCTAGTCTCAAAAGGTTACATGCTGTTTGCTTCCATTTGTCTGACATTCTCAAAAGGCAAAACTGTAGGGACAGAGAGAAGACCGGTGGCTGCCCAGGGCTGGGAATGGGGGAGGCCTTGACAGCAAAGGGGCAGCACATGAGAATGGCGGGGGTGGAAGGAGCAGTTCTGTGTCCTGATGGTGATGGTGGTCACACAAATGGATACGTATGTTAAACCTGCTAGCCCTCTACCCTGAAACCAGGTAATTTTACTGTCTATTAATGTGGGAATGAGAGGTTTGACTGTATCTGAAGGGCAAAGTCAGGATCGGCAGAAGGAATTGTTTTGAAGATGAGAGGGACTTGAGTTTATTCATTTGCTAAGGAGGAAAGTCAGGTCTCTTGGGAAGGGTGCCCAAGAGGAGTTCAAAGGTGTGAGATCCAGGGCACTGGTGGGAAGAAAAGATGTTTATGCGAAGAAGCAAAAGGTGAGGCCCTGTACAGTCTGTTTTCTCTATGAACCAGGAGACCAGGTGACCCACCTAGAGTAGAGGAATGGGTGCGGGGTGCCGGGCGTCAAGGGCTGTGGGAAGGTTTGGCAGGGCCGCCTTGAGGAACAGGCAAGGATGCTCTGAAGGCTCGGTTCGCAGTACGAAAGCCCAGCAGAGGTTGGCAACCTCGAAGCTTTAGTGGTACCGATCTGCCCCTTTGTGGATTCGTCTTCAGTGGCTTGGGGCAGAGCAGGGGTGTGTGGGTGAGAGCGGCTGAAGGACGAGGGGCAAGGATTTTGAGTGTAGGAACAGAAAAAGCTGGGCGAGGATTGGAAAGGGAAGCCACTGAAGCCAGCAGGGAACTGGTGGCCTGCGGAAGACGGGAGGGGGCAAGTGCCTGGGGGCTTGTGATGAATAATAGGAACCAGCGAGGGAGGGGGCCGGTGAATGAGGACACCATGGTCCCGGGGCTTCTGAAGTCTAAGATTTGAGAGGTGGGTGGGAGGACTAGTAACGTTAGGTAAGGGATTGTATTGCTATTTAGCATACTTTATTTTTTCTAAGATTTTATTTTATTTATTTGAGAGAGAGAGAGAGAGCACAAGCAGGGGGAGAGGCAGAGGGAAAGGGAGAAGCAGACTCCCCGCTGAGCAGGGAGCCTGACGCGGGGCCCGATCCCAGGACCCCGAGATCATGACCTGAGCCGAAGGCAGACGCTTCACCGACTGAGCCACCCAGGTGCCCGTATTTAGCATACTTTCTATGTAATAGTAATAGCACTAGCTCATACCTACTGATCCTTACCATGCGCCTGACACGGCTGATCGCTTTACATGCATATCTCATTTAATTCACACAGCAGCCCCATGAAGTGGGTACTGTGAATAAGGAAACTAAGGCTCAGGAGGGTTAGGTAAGTGCCCAGGGTCACGTGGCCCGTACGTGAAGCGGCCAGAGCTAGACTGACTTGTCCGACTCCAGAGGTTCTGCTTTTCGGACTGTTAGACTATCCTGCCTCTCCCACATGCAAGATCTTTTTTGGTTGCTGTTTCTTTATTTATTTTTAAGTAATCACTACATCCAACCTGGGGCTCGGAACTCAGGACCCCAAGATCAAGAGTCGTGTGCTCTTCTGACTGAGCCAGCCATGCGCCCCTCCTAAGTGGAAAATCTTGATTCCACTTCACTAGAATGCTGTGCTAGTCTCAACTAGACGTTTCAGAAACAAACCAAAGTATGTGCGAAGCTTCATGTGAACTTGACACCGTTATTGAAAGCCAGCTCTGAGGGGCTGTCCCCCTCCCACTGGGCAAGAGGTGTCAGTTTTGTATAGAGATGGTCCACTGAAAAGTCCTTTTGGGGCGCCTGGGTGGCTCAGTCGTTAAGCGTCTGCCTTCGGCTGAGGTCATGATCCCAGGGTCCTGGGATCGAGCCCCGCATCGGGCTCCCTGCTCGGTGGGAAGCGGGCTTCTCCCTCTCCCACTCCCACTGTTTGTGTTCCCTCTCTCGCTGTGTCTCTCCCTGTCAACTAAATAAATAAAATCTTTTAAAAAAGTCCTTTCACCTGACCCCAAAACTGTCTTCTACTGAAGGACAAAAACGTTACTTTCAGAGATGGAGCATGTTGGTGATCAGTCAGGATTGTTCTGGAAGTCGTGATGAAGTCCATGAAGTGGCCAAAGTTGTGGGTGGCCAAAGAGGCGTAAAAGTAAGGATCACTGAAGTCGAGGTCCAGAAACTGGGTGTGGGATGGGTTGGTTGTCTTATAGATGCTGAAGTTCCCTAAGATGATGGTGAATCTGGAAGAGGGGAAGCCACCAGGTGGCACCGTCTTCAGTGAATGGAGAAGACCTTCAGGAGGTCAAGAGATGCGAGCAGCAACAAGGAGTGTGGTTGAGGGACATGAGCCCCAAGCAAGAACTTCTATCACAAGAGGGAAGGAATCGGGGTCTGGGGACAGTAAGAGGGAGCTAGAAGAATGCCGCTATCCCTCTGCTTTTCACCCTGGGACATCTGGGATGTGGGGAAATGAGCAGCCCACGCTTGAGAACTTCACAGAGGAGGCATCAGTTAAGACAAGGAGACCAGGGGAGGAGGGGTATTTAGAAAAGGTTAAGGGCGCGGGAGAACGTTTATCATGTCCAGGGGGCATAGGTTGGGAAGCGACGTTAAGTATGAAGTTTAGTCTGTCCTGAATGGTTGCTTCCTTCCAAGCAAAATAAGCCACAAATAGGTGAAGGGGGTGTCCTGACTTCACTGCGCGTTAATATTCATTCTGAGCCCGTCGAACAAGCGCCCTGTGGCACCCATTCTTGGCAGGCATCTTGGCCAAGAGCATAACAACCAGAGCCCAGACTTGAGACCCTGGCTTCCCTGACTAGAACATTTCTTTCCTGGTGACCAAATCACCGCGTCCCATCTTCTGTATTTCCTGCCAGGCTCAGAGCCCGCACCTTCCCCACCATGGAGGAGTGGATGTCCATTTCTCAGGAGCAGTGGACTGCTTCCGGCAGATAGTCAAAGCCCAAGGGGTCCTGGCACTCTGGAATGGACTGACAGCCAACTTGCTGAAGGTGAGAAGGGCGGTGCATCCCTTGCTTCCCCGCCTCTTTGGATCCTAGCCCTTTCCCTTGCCGCACCCCTACAGGTTGCCTGGGGACACCCCCGTCTAGCACTGACCCATGAGCGCGGGCTGGCGGTCAGCCCAGAGACAGGGGGACCCTGTGCAGTGGCAGGGCATCTGACACCCCATCCTGGAGGAGCTGAGCATTCAGCGTAGAGGCTCCTGACATGGGGGTTCATGGACTCCTAAGGGGAACCTAATCTCCCAGCCTAACATCATATGCAAAAATGTATAGGTATGTGCATCTCTCTGGGGAGAGGATCCATAGCTTTCATCACATTCCCAAAGAATTTCATGACTCCCCCCCGCCCCAACAAAAAAAGGTTAAGAACTCTGGACTAACCTTGAACAAGTGTCAGGTTGTCCACAGGCATATTAATCCAGGCCATGCTCCCCCAACCCACACCGGGTCAGCTTTCATTCTGCCATCTTCCCGGACTCCAAAAAGAATGATGTTGTATTGTCCACAGCCTTTACCTCAGTTTACCCTGGTCCAGGTTGACTGCAGATGCACTGACATTTTCTTTTTAAGATTTTAACCTGATCTTCATTTCTTTTTAAACAGATAGTTCCATATTTTGGAGTTATGTTTGGCACCTTTGAGTTCTGCAAGAGAATCTGTCTTTACCAAAATGGTTACATTGTGTCTCCTCTGAGCTGTAAATTGACCCCAGGGGTGGATCAGAGTTTGAAGCCCCAGGAATTGCGGGAACTTAAAAAGTTCTTCAAAACTGGACAGCTGAAGTCTAAAAAACCAACTCTTTAAAACTGAATGAAACAAGAAGTGCACTGCCCGAAGGCATGTTATAATCATAAAAAAAAAATGTCATCTCATAACTGTGTGTGCGCAGAGTGGCGAGAGGATACTCCCATCTGCTGCTCTTGGAAGTGAGAAGATTCAGCCACAGAACCAGCTCCAAGCTCCAAACTGATGTCCTGGTGATCACCTGTGCCCTGGAAGAGCTTCCCAACACGACTGCTGCATGGTGGCCTTCCACCAGATTTTATAACAAAAGCTAGCATTAACGAAACGTGCGATTACACTCCGTAAATGTGCAACTTACACGACACCAAAGAAAGGGCATCACCGTGACCTCAGAGTCTCCTGTCCTCGAAGCAGCTGAGCAAGTAGCACATCAGGAGCTCAGCCACAGGGCTGCAGCTTGCACTAACCCACACTGGCCTCGCGTTGTCCATTCGACCCGAGTCTTCCCAACACGCTTGTTTCTGAAACTCCTAATGTTTGCTGACCTCTGCATAAATTACGCCCTATCAGAAGCTAAATGAAAGGGGCGCCTGGGTGGCTCCGTCGGTGAAGCGTCTGCCTCCGGCTCAGGTCATGATCTCAGGGTCCTGGGATCGAGCCCCACGTCGGGCTCCCTGCTCCGCGGGGAGTCTGCTTCTCCCTCTCCCTCTGTGGGTACTCTCTCTCTCTCAAATAAAAAAATAAATCTTTTAAAAAAAGAAACTAAATTAAAACCTTTTTTTTTTTTAAAGATTTTATTTATTTATTTGAGACAGAGAGAATGAGAGAGAGAGAACACATGAGAGGGGATAGGGTCAGAGGACGAAGCAGACTCCCTGCCGAGCAGGGAGCCCGATGCGGGACTCGATCCCGGGACTCCAGGATCATGACCTGAGCCGAAGGCAGTCGCTTAACCAACTGAGCCACCCAGGCGCCCTAAATTAAAACCTTTAACATTTAAAAGTCATCACTCTCTCATAGTAGAACCATCCTTTTTTATTTAAATTTGAAGCATCTCAAGCTTAAGAATTTCAGGAATCTTTTTTCAGGAAGGCGGTTTTTACTGTGACCACTTAATGCCCCAGAAGACGTTCTTCCAATTGAAATCATGTACAGTTGAAGTGGCCTGAATTCCCTGCCTTTTCCACTTGCTTTGCAAGCCTACCCTGAAAATAAATTATTTAGTCAACTTAGTTATTCTCACAAGATGTCCCAGTTGCCTAGAAAAGGATCACACATATCAAAAAGAAAAATAGAACTGAACGAAAACACTTCAGGCTAATCATCTCTACTTGATTTTTTAAAAATCAAATTTTGGGTTGTTCCACTTTGGGAACTCCATGGCAAGATTATATAACCTTACTTTCAAATAGTGCCTATCTATGCATTAAAAGACAGTAATATTAAATTGTTAATTTACACACACACACACACACACACACAGGCTTTCAGTATGTTGGAAGTATTTTTCCCTGTTAAATGTAATTTCCAAAGAAAAATGTTGTTTGGTCATTCATCCCTAAGGTGAGTTATAGTGGAGGATCTCATCTGTAGCCCAAGCTGTTACAATGCAGAGGGTGGCAACTTCTTTACCCATAGTGAATAGTCCCTATTTATTAGCTCTTCATATTCCTTGAGGCGACCAATTTTTTTAAAGTTCTGAAATCTGCAAAAAAATTATTTTTTTCACTAGCTCTAAAATCCGAGCCTCAGGTTACTTACATCGTGTTAATATCTTCTGTGTATTCTTCCACCCATATGATGAGATGGATAGCCACACTCTTTTCTTTTTTTTTTTTAAAGATTTTATTTATTTTTTTTGACAGAGACACAGTGAGAGAGGGAACACAAGCAGGGGGAGTGGGAGAGGGAGAAGCAGGCTCCCCGCCGAGCAGGGAGCCCGATGTGGGGCTCGATCCCAGGAC